AAAATGATGGAACAGATGTTGGTGAGAGAAGAGGACCCGTGAGATGGGGTCTGCTCACATCCCACTTCATCTGTACCTAATCAGCGAAGCACCTGATGTGACCAATTCCAGTAACTTGGATTCATGCTTATTCCAGATCTAAAAATTCAGGTTGTAAGCCACATTTCTAGAAGGGATATGATTTAAGCAATGCTTTTAGAATAATGTAAATTCAATGTACCTTACTTTAATATGCTAAAAATAGTATGTAATAATATGTAACAGCATCTAAATTCAAGCCTTGAAGACTAAGGGAAACATATACTATTGACATAGGAGGAAAGAAAACAGAACACAGCAAATCCCTTGCCAGAAGTCACCCTGCAACATCACCTGGGACCCTCTCCAGCTGTGGCCAAGGAAGAAATGCAAGACTGGACTCAAGGAAGAAATCAGCCACAGGCACAGAGTACTTGAGACTTCCCTATTTCACATATTTCCTCTTTAAGATGTTAAGGTTAGTCCATATGGTTATTATATCACACTTTTGGATCTAGGATTCTATCATTTCATAACTCTATAGGCAGAAAGTCATCTTGAAACATGGAACTTTGCAAACTATCTCTTTCCTTCTTATAAGCTTGTGCCTGTCTTTCTGGAGCACTTTCCAAACCTCCTCCAGGCATGTTCCTAATGTCAAGACCCCCAAAACAATGCAAATCTTGTAGAACCAAAATTCATATCACTATTTAAGAAAATATAATAGACTTATAACAAATACATTTTGTTGAGGTGGAATCATCTCTAATTAAATTAGTGCTCAAAAATAACAGGGCTCTAATAGAAATAATAATGATCCAGGATCATTAAAAAAAAAAAAAAAAAAAGGTTTAATCCACATTTTCAAGCAAAACACAGTTCACACCATGAAGTGTGTAAATACACACTGAAAGTTCCACACCTCTCCTCGCCATCGGCCATCAACTTTGGAGTCAGTGAGAAGGAAGATGAGAAATCCAAAAACACGTACATTTACAAATGTGAAGAATGTCCTTCTTCTTTAGAAAAACTCAAGAGATCTAGGACAGGTATGTGTAAACTCTGGATTTACTAACCACTTCTGACCTGTGAGCTACATTAAAAAGACAATAGACAGTTTCAAACAGGGTAGTGTCAAATTTCAAATGCCGGCAGTGGCTCCTGAGCTGTGATGTCCACTAGAGGGCAACAGAGTGCTCTCAGAAAACAACGTGGCAGTGTGGCTCGTTTTAGGTCACCAGTTCATTCATTGTGCACACTAGTCTTCTTTGAATGTGATATGAGATACTTGAATGCCAAGTGTGTTAGCAGTGTGTTCTCATAAAAGTGTTCTAATTCTAAATTTAGTCCTTCTGGCATTTTCATTTCTCAATAATAATACGTTAATCCAAATGCTGTGTCATATTAATCAAGTGTCTTCTTATAAAACTATCTTGAGTAATTTAATAACTTTAAAACAAATTTTTATGACTTTTAAAAACTATTAGAATGTATGTGAAGACAGCTTTTTTGATGTTTCAGTACTTAAATTCAAACAGTTCAGTACTTAAAACACACAAATGAAAACACAGTATACTCGTATTATAATATTAAAAGACAGCAATGGACATTAAACCCATAATTCTTCTACACAAACCCCAGAGTAACTAACATTTTGCCATTGAACAAACTGTTGAACTTGAGGTTAAATTTTAATGTTAGAAACCAGGTGCTCTCCCAGCCTGCCTGCAGGGACTCATCACCAGCAGCCATGTCATCACCAGTCACCAAATGCAACACATATAACCACTAAAAAGTCACTGCCATCACAGCCTGTTCTTTGTCTCTGCCTCTCTGTCTTTACCTCTGTTACTTTGTCTCTGTCTCTCTATCTGTCTCTGTCTGCATCTGTCTGTTTCTATCTCTGTCTATCTCTCTCTCGTCCCAACTTAGATGGGGCTGTTTGTCCCCTACACCACTACCCAATAAATCTATTGTGTGATATCTGTTGGCATGATATGATTTTGGGGGCATTTCTTGGTTCCATCCACCAAGGTACAGTTCTGTCTCTAAACCCTAACACTTACAATATGTCGAACAAGCACCTATACCAAAAGCAGAAAATAAAGCTGAACTGATTGTGTAATACATGAGAACCAGATGACACATGGCATTCAAGGGTCAATGCACAGTTGCGCAAGTCAACAAGAACTCCTGGCCTATCTCCAAGCACAGCCCCTCCCAACTGTAAAGCTTAGCCAAAGAAAAAGACATTTTCCTATAGTGGTGTACTATACAGTATAGCTTTACTTTTATGTTTAATAAAGTCATGGCAGCAGTTCAATTTTCATAAAAGTTATGTATTTTCACATTTCCATATTATGTTGTAGTTGCCTTCTTCGGCTATGCCAAAAACTGATAAAACAATTCACAATGTGAATAACTGTTTTAAAAGTCTGATACTGAGTAACAAGGGCATGTGTTTTAGAAATAATTTCTTTAGCAACCTAAGTAAACTCCATCAGATCCTTCTCTGAATTTACATCAAACCATTCCACCTCTAGTTTAACTGCACAGATGGGTTTCCCATAAGAGAAGCAATGTCAGCGGATACTCTTTGGATTCACAGTTTTAGTCTTTGCTGCTTTACTCCTTGCTCGCAGGCTATCAACAGGTCCTCACTGTCACCTCCCCCTGCAGATAGCCTATCCTAGGAATGGAAGTGTTATGACTTGAGCATAATGACTCTGTACATCCACCCAAACCTCTCTGTGCCTGCTGTCCGTCCATATTCTGTCTGTGAAAGAGTGTTGGGAGATAGTTTACAAATAGATGGTTGGAAAATCCCAGCTGAACCTCAGACAATCTTGGGCGGGTTTCATATGCCAAAGAACATCCATGAACTGTCCATTGAAATGAGTATTTACTCCGGACTAAAAAGTAAGGGAAACATGTTTGGTGAGGTTCTACTTCTACATCAACATAAGAACGGGAAGAAAACCTTAAGACTTCACAGAGAACATCAGGGAAAATAACAACCCTCCCTTGCTTTTTCACCATTTGTTTTTTTTTATTTAATTTTATATAACAAAGTCCAATTAAATGAAAACAAACATTTATACACAATATTTGGGAATTTGGGCGTCGTTCTTTCCAAACTACTTCCTGCTGGTAAGGGGCGCTGTCTTGGGGCACCATTTGTTTTTTTAACAAAAGAAGAAATGAGAATGATTTTTTCCAGGCAACATCAAAAGTGAAAATCCTTATTGATTGTATAGAACAATGACAGACTTCATGGAGGTGCATGACAGCACATTAAGAGAATATCTGAAGCTGTCCCCAACATATATGGATCCTCTGCTAAGATTTTAACAGATTATCTCCCTCTGTGTCCTTATTTAATAATGATGTTAAGTCCTATTAAGAGAGAGACTACACATGATAAAGGTTGATTCTGTGGCTAATGAACGGAAAATGGCTTTTGAAAGCTTTGCAAAAATAGTTTAAAGAATGCAGCAGGAGAAAGCCCTGGGTTAGTCAATCTCTCCAGGTGTTAACAGAATCTCCCTTCCTGAAATGGGACTTGGGAAAAGGGTAGAGTGGGAGAGTTTCTTTTGTCCCTTCTTAATTGGAGTATTTGTCTGCCTTTTTCTATGAATACTGGCAGTGGGACTTGAGGTGGGGGTTGCCTTCTTCATTAAAAGTCAAGCCAAGTATCTCAACTACCTCACAGGAAGAAGGTGGTTGCTGGGAAGAAACAGAAAGTGAACTGGAAAAGGCAAATAAGTCCCCATCTCTTGCTGTTATGAGGGGCCAGGATTCATATATTCTTTAGTTATACACTATAGCTCAGGCTGTAAGGTCGACTTGGGTATTACTGAGCTCAGGACCAACCAGACCAGCTAGAATGAAACCCTGTCTCCAGAAACCACAACAAAAGAATAGTCATTATGTGCTTTAGCAGATAGTATCAACCCATGAAACACCAAAGAGCTAAGGATCTTTAGTCCCTGCCTTCAAGGAGCTGACAATCCACCTAGAGACACAAAGAAAAAAAATAACACACAAAGCCAGTCAAGCCAAGAGCCATGAGAAAATAGAAAAATGCAAAATCTCTGTTTGCAAAGATGAATGTAAGTTTGAAACACAAACACACACATGTGCACTCGCATGCACACACATATGCCATGAAACTTCAGAAAAACAGTAGAAAAACCAAACATGCCACAAATATAAATAAACCTATGATAAACAATGCTAAAAGTGTACAGAAGAAACCTTGTAAGCAGTTTCATTTCTGAGGACAACACAGAGTTCATATTAATCTGAGAGTTTCAATTACAGTAATCCAGGGTATTGCCACAGAAGAGTTTACTTTTATATCTTTCTTAAAGTAATAAGAATCAAAATTCCATTAAATCACTACATTTGTAATGAATTATTCCCAAATAAATAACAGAACATTTTTAAAGTTACTTAAATGCTCAATGGAATGCACTAATTTTCCTTTGGAGTGAGGGTAGTAGTTAACAATGAAAAGAAGACAATCACACAATATAATATGCCATCTACTTTGAGAAAAAAATCTACACATAGCTCTTCAAGAGTCATCCATACCCCCCTATATTCTCCAATGTAACACAAAACAGGTTCCAACCTCAGGCATTGGGGTGGATATTTAGCAACTGCCTGCAATAAACTACAGATCCAGTAGCAGGAGCATTTCCAGAATTCTCTGTGGCTGACACTAATTTATTGAGATGTAATGGGAACTCTGGAGAATGAGAATCTGCTAATTAGGCCACCACAAACAAGTTCTCAAACTTTGACAAACTTCAGGCAAATACCTGATGAAGAACTTTGATTTATGAGCTATCCAGGTGAAACCAGAACAGATGGTATCTTTTACTAATATCTGACACACGAATTTGTGAAGAGCGTCAATGGCTTGAAAATATGCTACTTAGTAAAGGAAAATGAAGAACATTTTCAGAGTCATCTACCTTATCTTTGTCTTCAACAACATCTGCTAAGACATCATCTGGATCCAAGATTCCTCCATCTGTGTATTCTAAGTGATGTATCTTCACCCAGTATCCAGGATCCTGTGAAGGAATGAGTAAATTTGATGACTCAGTCTACTTCTACCAAAGTAAGATGCATTTTAAGAGAAACAATTCATCTCAATGAAAATACATGCTTTACTGATTGTCTTAAGTGTTTCTACTGATTTGATAAAATACCATGACCAAAATCAACTTAGGGAGTAAAAGGTTTATTTTGTCTTATAACTCTCAGAGCAGTCAGTCACCGAAGGAACTCAAAGTAGGAAAACAAATAGGGCAGAAATCTGGAGGCAGGAACTGAATCTATCATTATTAAACAATAATTAAGAAAAGACCCTACAAGCTTCCCTACAGGCCAGGCTTATGGAGACATTTCTCTCAATTGAAAGGCCCTCTTCTCACATGTTAGGTTTGTGTGAAGTGGATAAACACTAACCAGCATACTAATAAAACTTTTAAACACAAACCAAAGGGTTTTTTTAGTTGTCACTTTTATTCTGTCTAACTAGAGAAAAACCCATCTCATTTTTTTTTTCTGGAATCAACTTACAATGCAAAAAAGTGACTTTCCCAATCACTTGAAAAGTATATTCCAACTTAAGTAAGTTCAAAAATATTCTAGAGGAGAATAATCTTGGAGCTACTTTCTCAACTGTAGTTAAACAGCAATATAAAATTCCTAAAGCAGAGATATATAACTTTCACAGCTATCACTTCAGAATATCATAGTGGGATGGGAGATGGGTTCCCCTTTGCCTTTTTTTTAAAAATTTCCATGCTTGGTGTGCATCCTCAGCTTTGGTAAAAATACTGAAATATATTTAGTGGTACCTAGAGAAGAGTTCAGCTCTGTTCCTATTTCCCACATCATCCTAGTCTCTGGGTAGCTGTGTTCAGAGTTGAACATGGAGTCCTCTAAATTGACTTTATGATATAGATTATTTCCAACTATTATTTTAAATGCTTAGTGTAAAAAGAAACAGCCTGATATTAGATGTAATGATGATATAACACTTTCAATTGCTTGCGCTTTGCCTAGTTCCAGGAAAAGTATGAAAATAAAGAATTATAACAATGGGAATAGAATGTGAACCGAAAAATGAAGTAAGTAAAGCATCACTAGAGATTTTAAGAAACAGCCAAGCTAAAACCAACTTGGTTCTATGATTCTTACCCTCAAAAAGAAGGCATGCGTTAAGCTATAAAGCACTTGGTAAAGGAACAGATACCAGTTGGAAAGCCTACAAGGATAAAGCTTTAAGCCTTTATCAAATGAATCTTTATTAAGAATTAGAGCTAACAAAACCCATAGAAAGCAATTGTGATTTTACCAAAGCTAATAGAAATGATTGCCATATGGCCTTCCCTTTAACCCCTGGTGAAAAGCTAGAGCACACTAGTAAATAATGATTCTTTAGGGCATCTATATGGAGGCCCAAATACACAACTTTACAAAAACCCAACTTGATACAATGATAGACTTGAAAAATCTAAAGAAGTTTCCCTTTGCTAGACTTTAAACATCTCAACATTATGTTATTAGTGGTGGTGGTTTTTTTATTTTTATTTTTTTTATTTTTTTTAAGAGCATCTGAAGAGCATCCCAGAAAGAATAAGGCTTTCATTGCTTCTAATGCTAAGATTGTAAGTTCAAACACTGACAATTTCTTAGGAAACTTGAAATGCCTACCTTTATTGCCCAGATAAAAAGCCAAAGTTACAAGCAGTAAGAACAGTCAGATAAACAAAGCACAGAACACCCATCTCTCAGATTCTGTAATCAGAGACCTGTGCCAATTCAAAACAATTGGGTTAGCAAACCTGAGCTAAACGCAGGAAATAAGATTCCAAACTAAATACTCTGGGTTCATAAACAGAATATAATGCCATCTGACTACATCAGTTATCTAGAAACCTTCAGAGGTTAAATCCTGACACAGCCAAGCCACAAGTGACACATTTCTCCATACAGACACACAACACAGAACATGTCTCCTTAGGAAAGAAGGCCAAGTTCATTCATTGCTATCATCATGCATTGAGTTGCTTTTTAAAAAATATTGCAGTTTCATAGATAAGATTTGTTGATATATAACCATGTGGTCTAGTTTGCTTTCTGTTGTGATAAACATTGACCAAAGGCAACTTGGGTTAAGGGAAAAGTTTATCTGGCTTACAGACTACAGTTCATCACCAAGGGAGGCCGAGCTAGGCACCTGGAGGCAGGCAGCAGAGGAATGCTACTTATTGGCTGATTCTAGGCTCCCCAGCAGTTAGTATCTTCTATAGCCCATGCCCATCTGCCCAGACATAACAGTGACCACAGTGAGCTTGGCCTACCTACATCAATTAGCAATCAATACAATGCTATACAGCCCTGCTGATCTGACCTAAAACAATTCCTCAGTTGAAGTTGATTCTTCTTAGGCATATCTAGTTTGTATTGCTGACAAGAACTAACTGGCAAATCATAATTATAGAAAAGGGAGGCGCTCTGAACAGGTCTCTTTAAATGGAAGTACTTAGAGGAAGGATACTGCTAGTTGCTTTTCCCTTGGGCTCAGCTTGTAAGAGTAGACCATACCATCTAAAATTAAAGAAGACAATCATCCTGAGCAACTGCAAGACACATTAATTTAACCTTACTGCCTTATAGAGATATAAACAGAAAGAAAGGGGAAATGAAATACTCATTTAAAAAAGAAAAATTAAAATAACAACCAAATAAAAAGTATTGAGTAGGATTTCTCATAATTATAACAAAAATGGCTGACAATTGGCAGCAGGAAGAGGCTGTGAAGCCCACAGGACTCCTTCCTCAGAAACTGCTGGAAAACAAAACACAGGAGCAACCTACTTCAACTGATGCAAAAGAGTATAAATATAAATCAGGTTTTTTCATGCAGTTTGATAAACCTCTGATCACATTTAATAAAAACTGCAAACAACATAGTACTGCACTTTTAATGAAAACGTGCAATTTTAAATCACTATCTCACACTGATTCTGTCTTTTTATGCATACACAAAAACTGAAAAGTGAGTCTGGTGAGATGGTCCAGGAAGTAGAAGCACTTGCTGTGCAAGCCTTATGACCTCAGCTACGCCCCTGTATTCAGAACTATATTCTGAAACTGTCCTCTTCCCACCAATTCTCCTTCTGACTCTGTGTGTGTGTGTGTGTGTGTGTGTGTGTGTGTGTGTGTGAGAGTCTCTTTGTGTATGTGTTGATCTGTGTGTGTGTGTGTGTTTATGTGTGTCTCAGTCTCTCTCCTCTCTTTATGTGTATATGTGTATGTGTCAGTCTCTATGTGTACATGTGTGTATGTGTGTCAGTCACTCTTTGTGTATGTGTGTGTGTCTCTCTGTGTGTGCATGTATGTGTGTGTGTGTGTGTGTGTCTTTATGTGTGTACCTCTAACAAACACAGACCAAACAGTATTTTCTTTTTAAGAAAAGAGTAAGCTCATAATGCTCACACATCTAACCCTGGAGAAAAGCAGACAAACCTTAGAACAGCAGTCTCAGGTGAGCATTTAATACACTCAAGATAGGAGAATCAATAAACAAGAATATAGCAACTATGGTTCTGTCTCTGTGGCATTCAGTTATGGTTCCATAGATCACTTTAAGAATATGGATTCAGTATTAGCAGCCAACAGCCATCATGAGAGCATAAATTCACTCTGACCCTTTTATGTATGTAAACATTTCAACCATTACACTGCAGTCAACATTTTCCATTTTGTTTACATGGCTTTATTACCATCAGAAAAGAACCAATCAAATACAAAAGATTCACATACATGTCATGGCTCACAATTAATCCCTAGGATCACCTTAATGTAGTTTTTCATGATCATGACATTTAGTTTACATTCATGTAGCACACATATCTGTGCACATATAAATACTATTTTTAAAGTATCTTTGTGCATGTGCTTATCTTTCAACCTAATACATCTTAATATATATATTCCAGGGATCATTAAAGTATTGAAAACTGGCATACTATATATTTCCTCTATTTCTAATAATACACAGATAATATATATCTTCCTGGAATTTAAAACTAAGCCATTCTACAAGGATGAATTTGAGAAACTCAGATAAAAATATGAATTAAGGAACAGGACAGTAAAATGGGTTTTGCAATGATCAGATATAGAAATTATTCCAAACAAGTATACATATTAATAAAGAACTTTTGCTGTGGCTATGTGACACAAAATTTAACTTGGGCTTTAGAAACTGTATTATCTAAAAACAATTTTTTCCTGTGCAATGCCTAAAGTAGACTGGCAAACCATATGCTATAATCGTGGGGAATTGTGCTAGAAAACAAAAGATAGGAGAAACATGCAGGTCTCTAAGAAAATACTTAGAGGTAGAAGAAGGGAAGAAAACAGTTTGCAGTGGCATGCAGTTCCAAGAAGAAGAGCACTACAAAGGAAAAGCCAATGACTGAATAGGGTCACAATGAACTTGAACTCTTTCGACAGTGACAAGAGCCCAATGACGTACCTGGGCTCCTAGTGGCTTAAGTTGTCACTAGAATCATTGTACCCACTGGAATGCAATTATAGAATGAAAGTTAATGGAAAAGACATTCCAACAAGTGTGCATGGCACATGTACCAAAGTCACTAATGTGTATGGTTTTAATTGACATTATTCTCACTTTCCTCCTTCCAGTCTCTCCCCTCCTTGAAACCCCTCCCATGCTTCCCAGCTCTCAAGTTGATAGCCTCTTGTTTGTTATTACTATTACAGATATACATAAGTATGTATGTACGTGTATGCAAAAAACAAAAAATAAATACAATTGTGTGAACCTCAGTATCTCTTCAAATTCCCATCTTAAACACCAGAAAAAGGCTTTGTTCTTGAAATTTAAAAAAAAAAAAAGTGATATAAACATAATGGATTTGTCTGTAAGCTTGATGGCAGACTTGCAGTGTATCTTTAAGTGGAAAACCTGTAACATCTGTAGCTCTACACACTTCAAATTTCCCAATTTGTCTGTTATTGAAGCGTTCTA